AATTGTTAAAACTAATAAAAATAAGTTTGAAATCAAGTACTTTTTAAACATATTACATTCATTCTACCATGAAAACAGCAAACTTGTAGAGAAGGACATGCCCTCGTATCAAGTTCCTTTGCACTTAGTGGAATCTACCATACAGCAGAGAAACTTTATCAGTCGTGTCCGTTGTAGCTACAAACTGGGACGAGCTGCAGGCAGACCGCACCACAACACCCAGCTCCGCTCCTGCCACAACGCCGTGGAGGTAGGCAACCCATTTCCCTTTTCTCCGCACAATCCCTTTTTCTCCGCTCCGATGCACGCTAGCGACAATCCTGACCCTCCTACCTGGCTGAGCGCTGCAAGTAAAGCTTAATTGAAATAACTCGGAGGTACTTCAATTAAGTCTATGTGATTGTAATAGCTCGTAGTTATTGAAATAACTTATTAGCGCTGTTACTGTTGCTACATCTACCGTAAAATAAATAAATAAATAAACTAGAGTTGTCAGAGTGTTGGAACAAGGCAATTACGGTATTTGCGTTTTCTCTGGCAATGAATGGTTAATAATTTTAAAATGTCTGTAAGACTGGGGTGGTTCTGTGTTCCTGTTTTAGTAGATGTTCCGAGATGTTCAGTAATTAAAACAGTTTTGATTGTTTTTGGTTTGAAGCAGTCTCTTTACTGGTAACGTTAGCAATCTACGAAATCACACATGATCATATCCAAGGCTCTTATTACTATTAGTATATCACTTTATAATGAAATTTGGAATGTTATTTATAGCAATGATATGTATGCATATTATTACATTGTGTTTGAACTTCTCCACCTAAGCATTTTCTTAAAATTACATATATAACTCTGTTAATCAGAAATATTTTTAAAAACTCAATAACAATGTATCTAAGAAACACAATAATAGGACAACAAGATGCCTACGGCTGGTTCTAAGCCTTGACACTTGGAAGAGATACCACAACACTAGACATATTTGAAAACCATTTGAATGCTTTGGGGAAATGTAAAGTACAAAAGGTATCACCCTTGTAATATACAGTCACAACAATTCTTCCAAAATTCAGCAATTAGGCAGGACATTGTGCAATAATGTTCATTTGAATGATATGTACTTTCCAGTCACCACATGGGATGACCGTACTCTTTTTAGGCGGAAATATCTGCAGTTCTCAGTTTCTTATTGAGAACAAAAGCTTCCCTTTTTTCACCTAGAAGAAGATTGGTCCAATCAGCAGCTCAGCATAATTTTGTGAAAGCTAACAACTGTCAATCTTTTTCTTTTCTTTTTTATGATCAAGGACCTGCATGCGGTTCTACTCTAAATCATAACTATGCTTACATATTTTCTGTGCAGTCTCCATTGTAATGGTAAGCTGCATGTTAAAATTACACAGAATGTACAAATCATGATTGCAATGTGCTATGTTAAGGTCTCACACTATGTACCTATAGTATACATCAAACTGCACAAGGCGGGTAACAGACATACAAAATAACACCAAGTATAGATCATATGCTGATGTTCCATACCAAAGGCAAAATGACCAGAAATAAAATAAAGTATGAGGTCAAAATTCTTCAGTAATGGTAATTTTCACCAGTTTGAATCTTTTAAGCTTATCACACAAAGTTTCTTAGAGCGCTATGAGAATTATGTACAATACTCATCTAAACTAAGATGCCAGAAATTTCTTTAGGCATTTTACGACCACATCTGAGAGACATCAACAAGGTTTGAAACTTATCTCTGTAACTTCAATATGCATAAGATCTGTTAAATTAAGGGAACAGAACTTATTTTCCACAAGAGGAATGTACAGGGCTGAAAAAATAAAATAAAATAAAAATGAAGTAGGCAATGAATAAATTACGTTTTTGTACAATACTGCTGACATGCACACCGTAGACCGTCATAAGTTAAATAATTAAGAATCCCCGTAAAAATGCTCCAGTGTCAAACTTTCGCCGTGCATATTTACTACATCATCGTCGAGTCTACCGGTCGCAAGCAGACGACACCTTTCTCAAGGATTACAACTAACTACCTCCCGCGGCTCCTGCCGGCTGGCCTTCCCTCTTACGCCCGCTGCGCCTCGGCCGGCCTGTTGGCGAACAGCTGCTCCACGACGCTCTCGTCCGCCAGCGTCGAGATGTCGCCCACGTCCCGGTCGTTGACGGCCACCTTGCGGAGCACCCTGCGCATGATCTTGCCGGACCGCGTCTTGGGGAGGCCCGGAGCGTGCTGGATGACCTCGGGCTGGGCGAAGGGGCCTATCCTCTCCCTCACTGCAAGTGGAACGAGGTGTTAGCAAGCCAGGCGCAGATAAGGTCCGGCTGAATGGGGGGAGGGGGGGGGGTCCACCGTGGGTTGACTACTTACAGGGGTTTTGTAACACAAACTGCCTACCTTTCAGGCGGCTTACTAAGGGACGATTTTTTTTTTGGGGGGAGATCGCTCCCCCAACCCTTATACCGCTCCTGTAGCAAGCGAGCGACCCAGAGAGAAGCTACATTCAAAACAATCTCGACACGACACTTGCCGATTTCGTTTCAAAGCTCGAGCGCTTTAGTTTTGACAACGTTTCGATATCGCACCCATTGAGTGCGGGGCATTTTTTTTTTTGTGTGTCTATGATTTTTGGTGAGGGGTAAGGGGAATTTCTCACTGGCAATGGGCTTGTCTCAGGGAGACATTTCAACAAGGGATCATTCAGAAAGTGCGTCCGTCATTCGGTGTTACCATCCTGTCAAGGTCAGCCTAGACAGGTTGGCAATATCTTGCCTGCAGTGCATGCTTGTACTGCGGGTTGGCCTACCCCGAGTCCCGTGGGCGCCTAGCTCGCGCGTAATTTGCCGAAAGAATCGGGGCAAAAACCAACGCACTTTCTGTACGATCCCGACAAGGCCAGCGTGTTTTATAAGAACGTACCTTGCTTCTTGAGCTCGTCCGTCAGCTTCTTGTCGAACGCCGCGCCCTCGTTGGGGGTGATGAAGCAGTACAGGCACTCGCCCTTGACGGGGTGCGGCCGCGACACGACGGCGGCCTCGGCCACGCTCGCGTGCTCCACCAGGACGGACTCCACCTCGGCCGTGCTCATGAGGTGGCCCGACACGTTGAGCATGTCGTCGACGCGGCCCGTCACCCACAGGAAGCCGTCCTCGTCTCGTCGCGCACCTGCGGGTCACGGAGAGGGAGATAAAACGGCCGCTCTTCGTCACGAGGAGAACACAGCCTACACTGTAAATCCGGGGTGTCCAGCAGGTAGGCGACAAATAGGCGACTTATGTCGCCTATCTGCTGGACACCTTCTGGTCTTCCGGACAACTGCATGGGCACAATGGGTGGAATGCCTATGGACTCATACAATGCAATTACCCGGAAGAACAGAAAGTGTCCTAGTCGCCTAGTTTTGCGGTCAGGCGACTTTGTCGCCTACCTGCTGGACACCCTGGATGTACAGTGTAGAGAAGGGCGACTCACCGTCACCGGTGCAGTAGTAGCCCGGGAAGCGGCTGAAGTACACCTGCTCGAAGCGCTCGTGGTTGCCGTACAGGGTGCGCATCATGCCCGGCCACGGCCGGCCGAACACGAGGTAGCCCTCCCCGGGGCCGTCGATGCGCTTGCCGTTCTCGTCCAGCAGCTGCGGCTGCACGCCGAAGAAGGGGAAGGTGGCCGAGCCGGGCTTCATGGGCGTGCAGCCGGGCAGCGGCGTGAGGACGTGGCCGCCCGTCTCCGTCTGCCAGAACGTGTCCACGATGGAGCACTCGCCCTTCCCGATCATCTTGTAGTACCACAGCCACGCCTCCGGGTTGATGGGCTCGCCGACGGATCCGAGCACCTTGAGCGTCGACAGGTTGTGTCTGCGGGGGATAGAGGGAGAGCGCCGTGATGAGCCTCGCACCTTGGCGTACTGGTTTGTGTGTCCCGCTTTAGAGTCTGGCTCCAGCACTTACTTGAGCACGGGCTCGTCACCGAACTTCATGAGAGACCTGATGGCGGTGGGTGCCGTGTAGAACTGGGACACCTTGTACTTGTCGATCACGGACCAGTACCGGTCGTTGTCGGGGTAGAACGGAGTGCCCTCGAACTGCAGGGCGGAGAGACAACAAAGCGTGTTCAGTCAGTATGGGGTTGTTTTCGTTTCCCATCAGGTGGCTGGTGTGGTAGACATACTGAGCACGGTAAGCGTACGTGTGAGCGCGTTGCCTACTACCCCGGAGCCGTCAAGCGCGGCGGTCAGAGGCAGAGGCGATAGGCAAACCCACACGCACGCCTGCCCGCGGCTCAGCACGACCACTCGAGGGCCTCACTCACAATGACGGAGGTGGCGCCGTTGGCCAGCGGCCCGTAGACCACGTAGGTGTGGCCGGTGATCCAGCCCACGTCGGCGGTGCACCAGTACACGTCGTTGGGCTTGTAGTCGAACACGTACTTGAAGGTGGTGGCCGCGTACATGAGGTAGCCGCCCGTCGTATGGAGCACGCCCTTTGGTTTGCCCGTCGAGCCGCTGAACAGACACATACAGTCAGGAGTGTGCGACAGAGAGAGAGAGAGAGAGAGAAACAGGAAGAGCCACGGCACGGTGGCTCGCTCGTACCTGGTGTACAACATGAAGAGCGGATCCTCGGCGTTCACCCAAACCGGGTAGCAGGACGAGGACGCGTCCTCCATCTCCTCCGTCCACCAGAAGTCCCGATCCTCTTTCATGGAAACCTAGAGAACAAACATAAAATGAAATAATAATGGGGAGAGTCCCGGAACGACGGAGTTGCACCTTTCACCGCCCGACAGGTAGGCCGCCCATCGCGCGCATCGCCTGCTGTCGCCCGCCGCGCTAGCGCTGTCGCCGTGGGGTCGGTCTGCACCGCGACCACGGCGCTTTCCTCATGCAGGACAACAGGCCAAAGTGCGGCGGCAAGTTCGGCGGAAAGGAAAAAGCCTTCGTCTTTCTCACGCGGCCCGTCCCGCGCGCAAACACTGCTTTGAACACCGGCGGCCGCGTGTCGGTCGGGCGATCGGGGAGGTTGCAAAGGAATTATTTGGTCTTATGGGGTTACTTTGGAGTGGCGTTCGGCGGCACATAGATGTCTGTCATTCCCGGGGTGGCGGGAGAAAATCGCGGCCGCTCTCGGGGAGCGCAACCGGGCGCATGCTTTAATTTTAAAAAGTCTGGCGTGGGTTCTTGTACCGCAGATTGCCCTCCTTCCAACGGGGAACCACACGAGCCTCGGCCAACAACAGCAGCACCGGGTCAGGATGTAAATGGCGAGAGCGACCCTCGGACCCTATCGCGCCCCGCCCCCGGCTCGCCGGGCCTAAAGGCCGGGCCGGCCCCGCGGCTCGGCTACCGGCATGACAGACCGGAGCCCCACCAACCAGTGACGCTGCACTCGTCAGCGGGGTCGTCAGAGAAGTAGGCAATAGGTGGCCCAGACACGGGGGGTGTGCAGCTGGCTGCATCAACGCCTGCCAACTAGGCAACATTTGCACGCGCGTGAGAAGGGGTTGCCTGGTAGGCAGGCGTTGATGCAGCCAGCTCTACACCTCTCTGTGTTTGTGTAAGTTATTGCCTACTTTTCTAGCAAAATTGCCCATCAGGCAAAGTCTGCAGGCGACAGGCAGGAGGACCGACACGAACGGAGGCAGTGGATGGGCAATAACAGCCTCACCTACGGCACAGTGATCAGACAGACCTGACGCAGCGGAAGGCAACACGGACCCGCCCACGCTAGATATGACTCACTGCATCCAATAGGCAAAAGTCTGCGGGCGAACAGACAGCCCGGCGCGGCCACGGGCGGAGGCAATACGGCCCTTACCCCCACCAGTGACGCTGCACTCATAAGCCTGGCCGCGCCGCGTGGGTTAATGGACTGTTGGCACTCGCTGTGCTCCGCTCGCCTCGGGCTGTGCGCGACCCACACCCCACACGCCCGCACCGCCCGCACCCGCCCTAAGGGCGCCCTAACAAAGGAACTCGTCTAATAAGTGTTCTGTTAGTCCCCGATTTTGATCCGCTTTGGGGGTTTTGTAGGGTGGCCGAATACAAAACGATTGGCGGTGAAACTTCGTGCCCAATTTAATGTGTGTGTCTATAGGAGAAAATCCATTTTCTCCAAAACTGACCAAAAATTGTCCTTTTTCCGAAAAATCCAAAAATGATCCACAGTTTGTGGTCAGCTAAAAAAAAATCGATTTAAGGCCGAATACAAACTGGGGTTAATTTTTGTGTTTTTGCAGAAAAAAAAACATTTTTAGTCATTTCTAGAGCAAATGGATTTGCCCTAGATATCAAAAGGGCACCAATTTCCATCGCCAATCGTTTTGTATACCATCACCCAACAAAACCCCCAAGGCGTGAAAAAAATCGGGGACTAACACTTGGACGAGATCTATTGCAAGGGCCGTCCTCTCTTCTCTCTCGCGGCCACGCCTTCTGCTCATCGCCATTCCATTTCGCTTGCATGTCGCAGAGGTCCCGACGTCACCACGTGCCGCGCGAGGGGGGCGTTCGCCACGACAAACACACACACTGAGGGGTCGGGTCGGACTAAATTGACCACCCGCGACACCAGACGTCGGGCGGCGGTGACGTGGTAAACGTGGGAAAATACGTTGAACGAGACCTGCTCGAAGACCGCGACGCGGGGCGTCCCGTCCAGAGAGCCAAGGTAAATAGCTCCACGTGTCCCCAAAGTCCCAGTCTCGCACCAACTCGTTCTCACCCTTTTCCTGCCCGAGCTGCCGTTGGTGGCGCCGTTGGCGGCGCCGTTTGTGCCGTTGGTGCCGTTGGTGGCGCCGTTGGTGCCGTTGGAGCGGTCCTGGTCCATGGAGGCGCTCAGGCGGCCGAGGTGCTCCACCACGATGCAGCAATCCACGACGTGGCCCTGACTCGCCGCCCGGTCCATGGCTGATAAGGAGGGGAAAGGAGACGTTAGACACATACACCTTCCCTCAAAGGCACCTTTGCAAATAAGGTCGCGTTCACTGTTAAAAAATATTGTCAAATTATCACACTCTTTGTAATGACTAGTTTGTTAAAAAACAACATCGTTCGTTTTTATTGGCACGTGGAAAAATTCCTTCTATTTTGCCCGTTGTGGTCCATAACAACGTTTGGACCATAACAACGTTTCACCATGTTGTAAAACCACAACAAAACCGCTGTAAATTTTGATAGCAAGATGTAGCGTTACAGAACGAACAAGTTTGTTTTATTACAATTTTTTGGTGCAGGTGGAAGTAAATAACCACTGTTTTGGAATGAAAATTTGTTTCAGAAAATTTGGTGAATGTTGTTGGATTACAACATGTGTTGTTTTTTAACAACATTTGTTGCTATCAAACTTTACATCAAATGTGTTGTAAATTTACAACAAAATTTTTAACAGTG